AAAAGTAAGAGAAATTTAGGATAAAAATATGAACATGTTCTTGCATGAGGCCCATTGACTTGGTCCCACCTCTGACTCTGAGAATTTGCTAACTCATTGACTTAGCAGCAGTCTGCCAGAGGACATGTAGGATCTGGTTTAATTTAGACCCTGGACTTATGAGTCCTAATTTAGTGTGAGGATTTAGCTCTTTAAACTGGGCGAGTCGAGAACCAGTCAGTTCTAGTTCAAAGTGACATGCATGTTGCTACTTACATGACACTATGTAAAGTTGTAAGCAATTACTAACACCTGTGGTGGGTTGTTTACTGCACCACGTGACTAATTGTTCAAAAAAATGTCTCTGAAATGTTAGGTTCCTTTTAATGATCCATATCCCATCTCTGTTCTCAACAACACAAACAGGGCACTAACACATCTAGACAACTCTTGTAATATAGCATAAAATCATGCTTAACAAATACAAGACTTGACAAAAATGTCTGTAACACGATTATTTCTCTTCATTAGATTGAAATTGAATAGCCTTTTTTGTTAGATGATCTTAGTTTTAACTGCTGGCATGAAAAGCAGCAGGCAATTTTGTCATGAAATGTTAGGCCTTTAATCTGTGGTGTTTTATTATTTGACTTCCAGAAAACAAGACAGTGAGATAAATCTACAGACCAGAGAATTAAAAACCAACTCACAAAGGCTATCTGACATGCCATCATGCAATCACAGCACAAGTGTTCCTCAGGGGGGTGCAAAAACATGTCTTCAAAGGAGCATATGGGCTTGTTTTGCTTTGCAGAAGCCGATAGCAGATTTATTTATGCAACACTTTCAACAAAAAGTTTTTATATCACTGCAAAGCAACAAATGACACTACACACAGAACAATGAGTGGAAATAGAGACAGATGAGAAAATATAAATGCATAACTGTGTGGATGAACACAACATCGACGTCCATGCACCTCAGTCTCACGGAGACGTCTGCGCAGGCTGTCACTGGAGTCTTCCTTATTCTGCAGCCTCTCTAGATCTCGTTCCAGACGTTCTTTGGCCATTTTCATGTTCTGAAGGTGGTCTGTAGCCTCAGAACTGACCTTTAATGCCTTCAAGGACAAAAAGACAAATCATCAGTCAAATCTGTTTGGAACTTTCTGCAGCTCACAAAATCTTGGTTCAAATAAAGGTCAACTTTACTTCATATTTACACAGAAATGTGCATGTAACTTTTTTCACGTCAGATTTTCTGTGCTAACAATCAGTGCTGATACCATCAATAAATCTATGCTAAGGTTTTAATCAAAGGTCAAAGATCAGGAAATAATCTGAAGTGTGCATTAAGAACCAGTTAAAGCCTTTGTATCTGACTCAAATCRCTGACATTGTTCTGTTCTTTACTGTCACAGGAAGCACATCACTTCACACTACAGAAATAATGACCAGCTCTAAGATAATCATTTCACAAACGTGACAGGCTGAGCTAGATGTAAACCTTCATTTATAGTCCAGTTTAGCCTTGACTGTCAGCACAATTACTCTCAGCTAAATGAATGGTGCTTTTAAAAATTCATTGCCAAGAAAAGAAAACGGCAATAAAAGAATCAAATGTGGCAAAGTGATAATTAGTAACAGAGTCAGCCATTTTTAATAGACATCTCAGTTGTACTCTGATCACTCACCTTATCAAGAACAGATTTTAGAAGAGACAGAKAGGGACAGAAAGAGGTCAGGGAAGGTAAGGAGGGATTTTATGCATGCTTCTGAAAAGTCTGTCTTTTGCATTTGAGCACAAGCTCCAATAAATTATTCATTAATCTTCACAGCAAAATATTCTACCTTGGCAAGCTTCTCTTGTAGGTCCTGGATCCTCGTCTGCTGTTCGATGCTGGCCTAAGAAGAAAACAGAGACGTCCTGTTCCAAATAAAATTCCTTCTTATCTTTTATTAAAGTCACTGTCATCCAAATAMAAAAGGCTTAAGCTCAGTATGTAAAAACACCAAAACTAGTTTTATACAAATTACACAAACTTTACCCACAGGTTTCTGTGAAAGCGTTTGTAGGCTGCCTGACAGACTGCTACTTCCACCTCCTGGTTTCATATTTCCGAGACACAGAGCAAAAACCTGAGATTCTTTCATTCAATGAGTTATGATAACAACAAAACCAGTTTGTTTCTGCTTTAACTGGCGGATTGAGCAGTTCGATCACAAGTTCTGGATCAACTTGTGTTTTTGTCGGCTGCCACAACAACTGAAGAAAACTGAGAAACGCTTTAGAAACATGGAACAAGAAGTAGTAAAGGCATGTCCATGCCCAGCGCCCTACAAACTGCACTTTATACAGACAAAAGAGGATCATAAACTAACATGGCTGCAGCTTTAAATCTTAAAAACCCTCTAAAGAGAGTTTGTTTGTTCTTTTCATTTTATCAACAAAAATCCCGTGGATATTAACTCTGATGCAGAGCTCGATCTGAGCTAAGACTGACCACCAAAGACCGCTGATCTACTGTGAGTCAGACAGCTTCCAGCAATATCAACCAAAACCTTGAATCTGTACCTGCCTGATGAATGAAACTGTAAATGTGGTTTGTCCCCGTTTCACTATTTAATCGCGCAGTTCTTTGCTTTTGCTAAATTAAAGCCTACGGTGAATGGTGTTAACATTAGTGCTAGCTACYGTTAACCTGATTGTTAGCATGTTATTTGCAGCTAAGTCTCAGATTTAAATAAATATTAAGCCTATGGTTAGTAGCTGCATGCTGGCAAAACTAAATGGCCTAATTTAACTGTCTCAATTCTGAATAAGCTGGGAATAATAAGCAATCCTCTTCTCAAATACATGCTAAAATATTTTGTCTGCATGGCAGGATTAAAAAACGAGGAGATTAGTCCTCAGAGGCTATAAAAGTCTGGTTTGTTTTAATAAAAAATATGCTGACAGAGTTTATTAGAGGCAGTTTCTTTATTTTTGTTTGTCATTTATTTAAAATGACTGCAGCTGAATGAAGCTGTCCAGTTCAACTATAAAGGTAGCACCCATAAACTAACAGTAGTGAATTTTATGTTTAGAATAGGAGGGGAAGAAAAAGTCTAATCAAAATACTTTTTATAAAAATTCTAGGGGCTTAGGMACATTTTACTTCCAGAACTGTTGACATTTATGATTTTGCATGTAGTTGATGTCAGTAGCTAACATTGGGACATAGCTTCATGCTATCAGTCTGTGAGCAGTGACGACTGAGTCACTGTTGAATTGTGCTCACCGCTTTTTAAAACATCCTTATAGTTTATACACCTCAGATGTGTTGCCATTTATGCTGAACTTCAGGGGAAAATACTTTGATAAACAACGATGGTATATAACTGTAATAGTAGACAACAACACAAGCAGAAATATAAAACCAGCTGATTACTGTGGATAACTTACCCTCTCTAACTTGGTCATCATCTCGTCTACCTCAGCTTTGCCTTGTTCTTTGGCCTGTGGACACAAAAGAAGCTCATATAGATCTTCTCAGAAGTCATCCTGCCTGTGGCTAACRTAGGATCTAAATACAATGTTCAGAATTACTCTAACTTACATCTATTATTTTAGTTTTTACTTTTCATTCTACCTGTGAGCACACTCAGATCATGTTATGTATAAAAACTTGACAACTTCTTGTTTTAGTGACAGTGAAGACCTTCTGGATCCTGTGCTGGTAGTCTGCAGCTTTCCTCTTCTGTTCCTCGTTGGCTTGTCGGGACTCCTTCAGTTCTGCCTCATACAGGTCGCTACGGCGTCGGGCGGCAGACAGGTCCTCCTCCAGCTGCCTGATGGAAACTCGCATCTCCTCTAACTGAGCATGRTATTCCTGCAAAGATAGGTCATCTTTATTTATATAGCACATTTAAAAACAACTGCCGCTGGCCTAAGTGCTTCACATATTACAACTAGAAGAAAAACAAAAACAGAATACAAAGTAAAGGACAATAAAAAGTATATATAAACAAAACAGAAAAACTTTAAAAGTGAAAATAGCCAACTTTCATGCTGAATTAAAAGCTCTGGAAAACAGATGTGTTTTAAGGTGAGACTTAAAAACACCAAGAGTTGAAGCTTGTCTGATATGAAGGTGGCAGCTGGTTCCACAGTTTAGGAGCCACAACTGAAAAGGCCCGATCACCTCTACGGACCAGTCTGGACCAGTCTGGACCAGGGGACAGCCAAAAGCAAATGGTCACTGGATAAGAGATCTCGGAGGCACATAGGGCTGCAGGAGTTCTGATATATATTGAGGAGCCAGTCCATTCAGAGCCTTTTAGGTCAACAATAAAGCTTTAAAATCTATTCTAAAACAAACAGGGAGCCAGTGAAGGGAAGAAGCACCAGGGAGGCATCATCACGCTTTTTTGTTAAAACATAAACCTTCAGTCACTCATACCAAAGACTAACAGTCCAGAGTACTGATGTAATAACAAAAAGCTTTTTAGTTTATTATGACCCCCGCATATGAAGCGAGGGTCATACTGTATTGTTTTCAAACGTTTTATTTATTTACTCGTTTTATTTAATTTTTAGTGATTTTTGGTCAAACATATCATAGAAATGGCTGCAAGCAGTTTTACAATAGACCCCATATTTGAGGAGGGGGCTCCACCTGAAAAAGGGGTGTCTGGACATACAAAAATGATTATAACTCAAAAACTATTCAACATAGGAGCTTCAGATTTTGTTTATTATTATTATTATTATTATTATTATTATTATTATTATTATTATTATTATTATTAATAATAATAATTATTTATTTATTTATTTATTTATTTATTTATTTATTTATTTGTTCAGCTCTGATGAAAGGCTATCCATCGGGCATCAATTWGTACCCCCACCCAAAATAATGAATCTGTTCTGGTGAGTTCTGGTGCATTGATGCAATGCCAAGTTTTATTTTTATTTATGGCACATCATCAAATACATCACAGGAAATGACAAAGAACTGCCTGTTGTCCTGAAGCAACATTGTACCATAATGGAATTTCACAAGACAGTCCAGACATACAAGGTTACATACAAGCAGTTAAAGTATAGAATTTACTAGTCTTTTCACTTGTAAGTACTAACTTGTGTTACTGTTTCAAATAGGAAACGATATCAGTATTGATATTGTGATAATGTCTAATTTTAAGCAATTTTTTTCAGATYTGATCACGTAATGCAAACCAAAGTCCAAACTATCACTTCAGGGGTGTTCAGGTATTAAAAAAACAGTCAGTAATTTATTTCTTGTCCTTGCCTCAAGTTTTCTATAAATAGGTAACTGCAAAGCCGACAAGTTTTAAAAAATATTGTTATATTGTTTCACAGGGAGAAGAAGGCTGCCAAGAACCTATGGTGAAAAATGTGTGATTTGATTTAAAACTATCAGTTCATAAAGTAAATCTAGTATGGAGAGAGTGCGATGATTCCTAACACCTAAATCACACGAAAACAGTAAGAAGTTGTGCTGTGGAGCCATTTTTAATTATTTTAATTTATTTATCATGTATTCAGAGTTTTAAACCAAAAATCATATGAAACCACCATAGATGGCTCTCACATTCTGCCCCACATACTAATCTATACTGACTGTTTAAGCTCTAGTAGTCATAAATGAGATTTGATTTTCCACAGGCACATAAATCCAGACACATAAAGCRTACATTTCTTTGTGGATCAATAAAGTGACAGCTTCAAACCTTTTCTGTCAGTGGGGTTTCTGTGCTTCTCTGCTTTTGTGCTTGAAAAAATAATCAATCTGTAAATGTTTGCTAGTCGTACTAATGGTCTCTGTAAATGAATCCACCTTTAATCTCTCCTCTGTGTTTATGCAACAGAGCATGACTTCTGCATGGAAATGATAAACACTGCAGTCGCATGACAGAGCGTGGGAGACAGATGCTTTTCAAGATGAAATGCTGGATTTAACTGCTGTGAAAACCCTGCAGAGAGGCTCTGAAGGGAGTACAGACGAAAAGAAAATGTACGAGCAGCAAACAATCATCAGGAATGTGAAGATGAACAGTGTTTTAATCATCTTCCTGCACTTATTGGACAGCTGTGAGCACGCTGGATTTTATTCTCACTGGGAAGTTTTATTTTGGGTAATTTTTCAAGCAAATATTTTCATCCCTTTGTGCTTCATAAAAGCCTGAGAGAAGAACCAGTGTGAAGGTGCACGCCTGCATCACAGCATGTTTGACACACTGAGTCCAAAGCAAGAAGACACTGAATTCTTGGAAGATAACAGGAGGACTGAAGTAAAGATAAGGGCTGTCATTCATGCAGAGTTGTTAAAAAAGAAAGAAGCCCAACAACCCCAGACCCCTTTGATCAATATCCAATATTAATCAGAAATCAACCAGTAACTTATCCTGTCATTGAGATAGGATTTGCAGACAAATATGAGTTTGACTTAAAGCTGCCTGAACAAAGAGCAGCTGCCTTTTTACAGCTGACTTAGCAAAGGAAGGACCACATAATCCCTTTGATGCTGCTGACCTCTTGCCAAAGTAAACACCTCCAGGAAGACCCGTCCCTAAACCTCACACTCCTCTCTGAGGCTATAAGGTAAAAGGAGGGACAACTCAAAAACCTTATAGCTTTATCTCAGCTTGTGCATTTTCTTATACTTCATACAAAAGAAGAGCTCACAGAGGGAACACCCAGGCACACAGGCAAGATCTGTGAATAGAAGAACGTAAAAAGGTCTTGTGCACTTAAGAAAAATTACATACAATGTCAGAGCTCTAAAAGTCAAAAACAACAACAAAAAAATATCAAGTGTCTCAAGGAACGTTGTCCACAGCAAGAGTCCTCAAACAAGAAGCCCCAAATCTAAATTTAGCTCAGATAAATGCAGGTGCTCTAAACCCTCCAGTTGGCACTGAGCCAAAACAACCTGCGGGCCACAGAAGGACCATGGAGGGGTAACCTGCTGTCCATGTCTAAAGGCAAAATGTTCCAAAGGCTAAAAACTCTGGTTTCTGTTGTGCAGAAGATTTTTCTAAACTCCTATTATAATTACACTTTAAAAATTAAATCCTTTTCACATTTCAAACAAAGAGTACAAACTCAAATTACACGACTTCATATGGTTATGGTTAAAGTATTAAAGGTTAAAGGTTAAAACTGTTTTGGTGACTTTAGGATCACGTCTCTGCTTTTTGCRGATGATGTGGTCCTATTGGCTTCATCAGATCGTGATCTCCAACTCTCACTGGAGCGGTTCACAGCCGAGTGTGAAGCGGCCGGGATGAGGATCAGTGCCTCCAAATCTGAGACCATGGTCTTGAGCCGGAAAATGGTAGTGCGCTGCTTCCAGGTCGGGGAGGAGGTCCTGCCCCAAGTGATAGAGTTTAAATATCTCGGGGTCTTGTTCACGAATGAAGGAAGAATGGAGCGGGAGATCGACAGGTGGAYTGGTGCTGCATCTGCAGTGATGCGGGCGCTGTACCGGTCTGTCGTGGTGAAGCGAGAGCTGAGCCAGAAAGTGAAGCTCTCGATTTTCCAGTCGGTCTACGTTCCTACCCTCATCTATGGTCACGAGCTTTGGGTAGTGACCAAAAGAACGAGATCGCAGATACAAGCGGCTGAAATTAGTTTCCTCTGCAGGGTGTCTGGGCTCTCCCTTAGAGATAGGGTGAGAAGCTCAGTCATCCAGGAGTGACTCAGAGTAGAGCTGCTGCTCCTCCACATTGAGAGGAGACAGTTGAGGTGGCTCCTGGACGCCTCCCTGATGAGGTGTTCWAGGCTTGTCCCACTGGGAGGAGGCCCAGAGGAAGACCCAGGACACGCTGGAGTGACTATGTTTCTCAGCTGGCCTGGGAACACCTTGGGATTCCCCCAGAGGAGCTGACCCAAGTGGCTGGGCAGAGGGAAGTCTGGGTCACCCTGCTTAGGCTGCTGCCCCCATGACTCGACCCCAGATAAGCAGAAGAAAACGGACTGCTTTTCCATAGTTATGAAAAAAGATAAAGGTTCAAGAACACACAAAGTCATGGTTATTTAATTCCCTTCAGTCTCTTATTTCTTTCAGCCCAACTTGTTTTCTTCAACACGTACGGTATGGTCCTCTCTCGGTGGCTGAAACTGCACAATTTATGACTACTTTTTTCACACTGGTCACAGCTGCAGAAGGGCGTAACAGGTCTTGACAGCATAGTTTGACCTGCTTAGCAATACGTTGGGCCCATCTTGATGTGGGATCAGGGTCTGGTACAGTCCAGTTTTATGGCCAGCAGGAGCAGGTTGGTCTGAGACAAACCTCTGATGCTTCAAACAGATTCAGCCAGTGGGTTACGGCTGTGTCATATTGCTTAACCGTAACATATATAAATGTTTATTTGTTCAGAAAATGACAGCTATAGGATTTCTAGAAACCTTTGAAAATATTTAACTTTATTTTAATAATTTCTTTAAACTAATCAAAATTTGCTGCTCTTTAAAAACTAACTTCTTCTCAGTATAATTCCACAAGAAACAAGCTGTACGCTGTTGTCCCTCGTCGCTGACAATTTTAAATATTAAATGTTTGTAGCTTTTAGGATTAGTATTTTTCTGGACTGGAATTGATCTGGGAAAGCAAGTAAAGCTTACTGATTTTATGCAAGATATTCCAGACAGTAGGAGTGAAACAGAATAAGAACGGAGGTGATAGATCCTGACGAATGGAGGGAGTAATTTTATCCATCATCAGGTGTAATGGCGGAGCCAGCAGGTGGCAAAAGAGGGTCATGCCCATCATTAATTAATCTTTGGTCACCTCAGTCATTTGAGGAAACTGTGATTTCAAGCAATATAAAAATTAGAAGGCATAATTTACTCATCAAT